CACGGGGGTGTATAGAAGCCAGGAAAGTTCCCCACAAGAGCGGGACCATTCCCCCGCTTACATACAGGAAGCCTAAGGCACAGTTGCTCTGCCCTGGGCTTCCTGGAATCAGCGGCTGATCAGTTTCAGCAGCAGCTCGCTTGGGGTTCTTAAGTTGAATCTGTATATAAGTCAGAACTGCGGTCAGTTTCAGCAGCGGCTGAATCTGGACGCCAGTTCCGACTTACATACAGATTCAACTTAAGAACAAACCTACAGTCCCTATCTTGTACGTAACCCGGGGACTGCCTGTATACCAAAGGATACAGGTTAAAAAAATGAACACATATGAAAAGGACAAATCAAATTTCAGAACAGAAGGAGGAGGAGGGGGGGAGGTAAATGTCTGTGAGCTAATGATATTAGAGGTGATAATTGGGGAAGCTATCTTTGTAATAATTAACGTCTTTGTTTAAAATTAGGTGTAAAGTGTCGAATTTAAGCATGAATGAGAGTCTAGATGCGGCAGTCTAGACGCAGCCCGGTTGACAAGGGAAGCCTTTGTCGACCGCTCCGGTGTGCCTTGTGAAACGAGATTTACTGGAGCGGTCAACAAAGGCTTCCCTTGTCGACCGCACCGCGTCTAGACTTCCACGCTGTGCCGGATCAGCTGATCATGGGCACAGCACGGTGGCCATTTTTATTCTAATGAAGTGGGGATTATTTAAATCTCCACTTCATTGATTATGCCGAGTAAACTATTTTACATGGCTCCGTTGACGGAGCCATGTAGTCTAGATGTACCCGAAGAGTCTCTCTAAAGCAGATTTGCTGGAAAACAATTTTGAATAAAAAAGGTAACACAGCAAAAGTTAAATCTTGATTCCTTACAAGAGATATTATCACAGGAAATTTAAACCACCCAAAATATGTTTTCTGGTAGTTTTGCCAAATACAAAGTGAACTATTGTAAGTGTCATTATAAACACATATGTTTTACTAGTGTCTTAACACTCAATTAAAAAAAATATGTTTAGGGCAATCTACATGAAAAACATGCCAATAAATAATCTGTTACGGGGGGTGTTGTTCCTATTTTGCATCTGAAGTAATCCATAGTAGAAGAAATCACACAGATAGTATATTTGTATTTATTGAAAAGCAACAAGTTAATTCAGTTACAATATTGGACACATTATTTATTATAATGGTGGCAGGGATACCAACAGCCTCCACAGGCCACTGGGCAATGTAAGGGCCTGCCTCTCGGAACACAGCCTCAGGTGGAAGGGGCAGGACCAAGGCATTCAGTCCTGAGTGCCACATGGAGAGTACCATACAGGACCCCAGAGCAATGCCAGAGCATGTCCTCCCTCCCAGTCCCTTAGCATTGCCTGGAAAGGAAGCATTGTGCTCTGGTGGTGATTAAAAGGACCTTGGGCTCCTTGGAATTGCTGCCCCTTTTGCTCCCTCTCCCCACTCCCCCATGGGGTTGAATGGTGGTTCTCAAGCATTGAGCACTGTTTTCAAAGAAACATTTCATTATAATCCACCAAAGTGTTATACTAACCAGAACAATACAGTGTTTTCCTGTTGCACTTGATAACGGCGAAATAACCTAATTTGTGGCAAAACTACTGTCCATCTGTTATGTGTGCATGTGCATAAAGTATATAGTGGACTGGGCTATAAATGTTAGTGCCCAGGCCTTATCCTGAATAAAGAGATTCGACACATGGCAATAGCTAACAAGACTGCCACTGTGTTTTGTTTGTTTGTTTTTGTTTTGAGTAGGTGACTAGGAATTAAGGAAAGCTAGCACCTGACCCTCAGTGCAGAGATTTTGAATATGTCTACTAATAGACTCTACACCTTTCCACTATGTTTTTCTTTTCCAGCCATTGTATGCTCTGTAAAGCAGGAAATCCCTTAGCATATCCAGAACTTTAGTGAACAATATAATCTGAAACAGGTTCAGATAATATGCTACGTGTATACCCCCTTCTGACTTAAGGTTACTTTAAGACTGTCTTCTCAAAGACATTAATCAGAGTATATATTTGGAAGCAGGGTAGAATCTGGCAAAACTGTACATATAATTGGATTTGACGGATATCAAATGTTGTTTGTGTGTAGGGCTATCAGCCATTCCCTTGTGAGAAGCTGGCACCATATTTGCCCACAGGAAAGAACTGAAACCCTCATTTGTGTGTATGAAGTCAAATATGAGTGTCTTGAATGGTTTCAGCTGATGTTGCTCAGTGGCAGCCCGTCACTACAGGCGAACTAGGCAGTTGCCTAGTGCGCCAAGATAAATGGCCGTTGAGGGCTTTGGAGGCGGGGGCACCGATCACGCGCTGATTGTGTGTTTCGCCTAGGGCACCAGTTGCCCACAGCTCGTCTAGGGCCGTTCCTGATGTGGTTCACTAATGTTCTGATTCTGCTTGGGGAGTTCCAATCTGTAATATACAGTTGACAGAAAATCTAGTGAAGAAGGTTTGAGTCCTCTGAAGTTTTTTAATGCATTCAGTTCAATAGAAAGCTTCTGTAATAGGCCACTAGAGCATTCAGTTGATGTCTGTTCCAAGTAAGGTATTTACATTTATTATTCTAAACAAAATAAAGAATGCAGTAGATTCAAGGTTATGACAAGAACAGTCAAGGTTCAGACAGAGGGATTCATATATAGATCAAATAGTTTCCCCAGGTATCACTGTGGAACTGTTGATGAAATGGCAGTCACCACTTTTTTATGTATGTTATAAGTGTCTAAAAAGCCCTCAATAATATGGCTAGAACAGATTTATGGAAGTTGCTGTGTCACTATGAAATCTCACAGAAATATGTGGACATTATTCAAAGTTCACTGTGAAAGTATGACATGCCAAGCAGTACACGATAGTGAACGGATTAAGCCATTCAACATTACCACAGACAGCAGATAAGGATGTGCTATATCATCCTTGATCTTTTTACTGGTAGTGGATTGAGCAATGAGCAAGATCACAGAACCAGCAATGGACATACAATGGACCGAGGAAGTAGTCAGTTCTTTTTTCAAGGTCCAAATTTTTTGCTCAAAATATAGTCAAGATCCAGACTCCAGACAAAATAATAACAACCCTTCTAATAATGATGATGATAAGTACATAAAGATTTTAGAATCTGTTCAAAGTATATGGCTGTCAGGATTTGGCCTACAGTCCATCTGTTGATTACTCCTGCAATGGATTTTCACACAAAAGTTTGAGGACCTTGACTTTTCAGATGACATTGACTTGCAATTCCAGACCCACAGAGATATGCAAATCAAAACAAATCATCTCCAGACAGATGCATAATTAGTAGAGTGAAAATCAAGATTAAGAGAACTAAAACCGTGGCAATGAACACATAAGAAGAAACACCAATAGCACTTTCTGTGACTAAAGTGGAAGAAGTTCAACATTTCATATGTCAGTATCATTGTCTGTACAACAGGTAGAATAGACAAAGACATTAAAGCCAGAGTAGTGAAAGCCAGACTTGTTTTTGTATCTTAAAAGTCAACATCAAGAAACAGAAATATCACCCTCCAAACTAAAGTTAAAAAATTTAACACCGTTATAAGTTTGATATTATGGTTTGTGCTAAAACCTTATTAGAAAGACCCACTAAGACCTTAAAATTTAAACTCTTAGGTTTTTGTAAAAAGCTGATTAAGGGCTGGTCTATATTACTGACCTATGTCAGTAAAACTATGTTGTTAAGAGGTGTTAAAAAATCCACAACAGAAAAAAATGGAGATGGTTAGGAAGGACATGTTCTCTTACCACTCTGGAACTTCCTAGTAGCCCAAGTGGGAGTGAGCTCACAGGGTGGTCTGAT